TTCCCCAAAGCCTTCTTGCCAGAGAGCTGGGCCCTCTGCTGCCTGCCCTCACACCCTGTCTGGGACAGCCAGAGGGATAAGTGAACCAGCAGCTTCTCCCATCCCTCACGGGGGCCCTGTGGCATCGGAGACAGGGTGCTGCTGCTGAGTGCACTGGGAGACCCCAGGAGTCCACGGAATTGGTGGTGTCGTTTTCCTAGCACCTTCACTTTCCACTTTCAGGCAGCCCCCCTGCAGCAGCTGCCCAGGAGTGTGTCCTCCTCTTTACCTAACCACAAAAGGAAAGCCAGTGCTGGGCTGCTCAAAGAAGAATGTAAGCTTTTCTCAAAAACTAAGGGTCTTCAGCAAGCCCTCTTCCACAGCAGTATAGCTGTGAAGAAACTGTTCTTTTAATGAGGATAAAGCTGATATAAGGATTCTGTTAGAGATACTAGAAGTCACTCATGAATCCATTCATATGACTGCTATGCACCAAGAAAGGGGCACAGATCTAATCACCCTGGGGGAAATGGCTGCCAGCTGGAGCAGTCAGGATCAGCTCCAAAAGGTAGCAGGTGTCAGTAGAGTGAAGTCTGTCGGCAGGGTAGACTATGGAGGGGGATGGGGTATTCCCAGTGATCAGGGCGACCGGAGGTAGCTTGCAGGGAGCTCAGCAAGGAGCAGCCTGCACCAGCTAGAGCCAAGGTCTGGGGGATAAGGCTAGCGTGGGACCAGATTGTGGAGGGCTTTAAATGTCAGGCTACGGAATTTATCAGGGAAATGAAATGATCAAACAGGTGTTTTAGGAAGATGAATTTGAAGAGAATGTGCAGGATGAATTGGAAAATCTGGAAGCATGGCAACAATTAGGAAGCTGTGAGATTAATTAGGCTGCTGTAGTAGTCCTATGTGAATTGATAAGGGTGTAAATGAGCATAGCACCAGCCGAAATGGAAAGGGACAGCTGCAAGAGACATTGTTAAGAAAGAATGGATGAGGTTTGCTGCCTGATTGGATTGGGGACCCAGGGAGCTCAAGGAATCAAAGATGACACGAGAATTTTGGGCGTAGGCAACTGCTGATACACTGGACAGAAAAAGGGATGTTAGAAGAGGGAGCTGTTTTCAGCACATGCGAATTCAGTTCAGACAGAGCCTGCAAGATACCTAAGTGGAAATGTCTGATAGGTCACAAGAAATTTAAAACCAGAGCTCAGGAGGGATGTTTTGGTTGGTGATGAACGTGAGAATCAAGTGCAGAGAAGTGATAAATGAAGTCGTGGAATGAATGAGATCTCTAAGGAAAAGCCTAATACAGTGAAATGGAGGACCAAAGATTGATCTCTGAGGAATGCCCACATTTAAAGGGTTTCTATTACAAACCTGAGTTTAGAAAGTGCCATTCATATGCTGCATGTCCTCACCATTAAAATCAGTTTAAAGTGTCTTATCAATTTGAGAAAGCCAAGCAACATAGCATTTTTATGACTTTAATAGGAACTAAATTATAATAATCTAACTATGCCCCTAAAAAAAATTGGCTGAATTCAAGGCTCATATCCAGAGGGGGGAAAAAATGATGTAGTGATCATAATCTAGAAGATTAGTGGATTTGAGCCCACAAGGATGTCAAGCAATAAAAACTTGTGAAAAATATCCTATAAATAACATTTAATTAGAGGAAAGTAAATATTTACTCATTTTAAACACAGGACCAATAAATTTACCATATTTGCAGTACCCTGTCTTCCTGAGTGTGAATTTTTAATAAAGGCTGCATTAAAGCATAGGCTGGCTCAAACATTTGTGAAGATGAGTTAATATAGGAAAGCTACCCAGAGTATAGTAAGCCCCACTGGACTTAGCATGCAAACAGAATATCTTTTCTTTTTTACGCCTAGTCTTTTTACTTGTATATTTACAGTATATTTTTTGACAATCATTTAAAAAAAAGAAAATAGCCAAAATCGGTTTGGCTCAGTGGATAGAGCATCAGCCTGCGGACTGAAGGGTCCCGGGTTCGATTCCGGTCAAGGGCATGTACCTGGGTTGTGGGCACATCCCCAGTGGGAGGTGTGCAGGATGCAGCTGATAGATGATTCTCTCTCATCAATGTTTTTAACTCCCTATCTCTCTCCTTTCCTCTCTGTAAAAAATCAATAAAATATATTTAAAAAAATTAAAAAAATAAAAATATTGTAGCTTTGAATTTTTGGATTAAAAGATGGTTTTTAAATCCTATAAAGAAATATTTTGTTTTATGTACTGCTAATATTTTGCCTTTATTGCCTTTAATAAAGAATATGCACCAAATGGTCAAACAGCAAAGCAACTGTTATCCTATGACACCTTTAATAACTCTTGAAAGAGTGGACTTAATCCTGGCCGGGTTGCTCAGTGGCTAGAGTGTCAGTCTGTGGACTGAAGGGTCTGGGGTTCAATTCTGGTCAAGGGCATGTACCTCCATTGCAGGCTTGATCCTAGCTCCTGGAGGCAACCAATTGATGTGAGAGTCTCACATTGATGTTGCTTTCTGTCTTTCCCACTCCCTCCCACTCTCTCTAAAAACCAATGGAAAAATATCCTCGGGTGAGGATTAACAACAACAACAAAAAGAAATAGTAGGGAGAGAAACCAAGATGGCGAAACCATAGGTAAATACCTGAACTTGCTGCCTCGCACAACCACTTCAAAACTACAACTAAAAGACCAAACGGACATCATCCAGAACCACAGGGAAGCTGGCTGAGTGGAAATTCTACAACTAGAAGGGAAGAGAAAAGCACACTGAGACTCAGAGGAAAGGGCTGGCTTCTGAGGATGCAGTTGTCTTTTTCAATTGGGAGAAAGACACTAGCTCCCGACTGCTCTGAACTCCAGTTGTGGGCGGGACTCTGGGGATCTAGACTCATTGGAGAGGGGGGAGAAGGGGGTACACAGGGGACCACACCAAGACACAGCATAATTAAATTGCAAAGAGCAAAAGACAAAGAATATTAAAAGCAGCAAAAGAAAAACAGTTACCTACAAGGGAGCACCCATATGATTGTCAGCTGATTTCTCAACAGAAACTATGTAGGCCAGACGGGAGTGGCAAGGAATATTCAAAGTGATTAATAGCAAGAACCTATAACCAAGATTACCCAGCAAAGCAATCATTCAGAATTGAAGGTCAAATAAAGAGCTTCACAGTTAAGAAAAAGCTAAAGGAGTTCACCACCACCAAATCAGCATTAGATAAAATGCTGAAAGGTGTTCTTTAGGAAGAGAAAGAAGAAGAAAAAGGTAAAGATAAAAATTATGAACAACAAATACATATCTATCAACAAGTGAATCTAAAAATCAAGTGAATAAAAAATCTGATGAACAGAATAATCTGGTGAATATAATAGAATCAGGGGAATAAGAAAGGGAGTGGACTGACAATTTTCAGGGGAAAGGGGGTGTGGGGGGTGTGGGAAGAGACTGGACAAAAATCGTACACCTATGGATGAGGACAGTGGCAGGAGTAAGGGAATGGAGTGGGTTGGGAACCAGGTGGAGGGGAGCTATTGGGGGGGGAGGGAGGGAAAGAGGTACAACTATAATCTGAACAATAAAGATTTATTAAAAAAATAGACATATCTTAACATGTCCTCATATTTAACAGGTTTAATTAATATTTTCCTCTAAAATACCATAGCAAACATATTAACATATATCAAAAACAGTTAAAAGAAACACCATTCCAGTAAACATAAACTTAAAAACAGACACAAGTTAAAAAAAAAAAAAGAAAATTTACAAAATTATACAAAATGGCTGCACATAAAATACTGACATGCAGTTACTGAGAAGATACTGGTTTTAGTTATTTTCAGGTGATGGAAGCATCAATCCAGAAAATATATGCAATTGTTGGCTGGCCTTAGAGGTACTACATATACACATTAAAAAAAAAATAATCATGCAAAACTTATAAACCTGGTAACTTCTCATTCACCAGATATTTTGAATACCTAAAAGATTTAAACATATCATATGATCTTACAGGGAACCCTTAAAATCATACAATATCATGGACTTAAACTTTTTAAAGTGGAGAATATAGAGGTAGGCCTCTTAGAAAAATTTCCCTATTTGACTTGAGTTATTAAAACCAAAGCTGCCCTGGCCAGTGTGGCTCAATTGATTGGAGCATTGTCCCATGCACTTAACGTCCCAGGTCAAATTCCCAGTCAGGACACATGCCCATGTTGCCTGTTTAAACCCTAGTTGGGGCGTGTATGGGAGGCAACCAATTGATGTTTCTCTCCCTCTCCCTCTCCCTTCTCTCTCTAAAATCAAAATACAACAACATATAGAGTGAGGATTAAAACAAAAAACAAGCAATTTTCTTGATATCTTCAGCTTCTTAACTAAGACCCAAATAGTTTAATTCTATCAGCTAAATTTAATCAAAGAGTTGACTTTTTAAACACAATACTGTCAAACTTCATCAAGTTTAAAAAATACACATGAACTAATTAATACATTACTTAGAAGCTGATTTCATTTTTAAAATATGGCCTTAGGCCGATTTGCCAAACAATGGGAAAAGATAGAGATTAAAAAAGTTAGACCATCTGCTTGTTTCTTTATAAGTACTCATACTAAATAATGTAATTGAAGAGTCAATTTTTGTGTGGAAGTATCAGGTAGATGGTTCTTACTTGAAAGTTACAATGAAAAGGGACTTATATTTATTTAATTAAGGGGGATTGCAACTGTTTTAGGTTAACAATAATCCTGACGGGTTGCGGTTTTGTAAACAACTGAAAAATCTGAAATGTGATAAAAAAAAAAAAAAACAAAAAAAAACAAAACTGGAGTAATGTCTGTTGGTGAAGATATAGGATATACTTTCACAAGAAAGTTTCCAAAATAGCCATTTTATCGTTAAGTCTAAAGAGTCTGTAACATACACACGTGTCATAAAGCAAAAGAGGTGGTGACTCAGAGATGATTAAATAAAAGTCCAAATGTTTGGAATTAAATGACCAACTACTCGCCAAAAATCCACAAGATATTCACACCAGACAAACCAAGATTAACTCTCCTATAAAGAAAAAAGAAAAAAGTTTTAGTGGCACTGATTGTCAAGCATTGAAGGTCTTTTCTCATATAACTAAAACACAGAGTATAAGGTTTCTTCTATCATTTTATTGATGACATTTTTAACAGTGTTCTATAATATGTTATGGTACACATCGTTTACCAGGTGAATTCTAGTAACAGTAATTACTTTCTTAATTGTGCTTAAAACCCAAATTTATAATAAATGAATTTATAGTGTTGAAAGTTAATTTTTCAATGAGCCTCAAGAACTATTATATTAGGTAGAGTTAATAGGATAATTTTAGTAGGTAAAATCACAGTAAATGTGTCAATAAAATTTTTTTAAATGAAAAATATAAAGACAGGCTTCTTAGAGAAATTTACCTATTTGACTTGAATTAGAAATTTTCCAATATTAGAGATGCTGCAGTGGATTTGCATATAGGTATTAATATAGCTTAAACTAAACCATATTTCATATATCAAAAAGAAAAGTCACTGGGGGTGGGTAGAGGCTGGGAGGAGGGGGTAATGGAGGACAATGGGTGATATCTGTAATACTATCAACAATAAAAAATATATTAAAAAATAAAAAATTGCCCTAGCCAATTTGCTCAGTGGTAAGTAGTGGCCCATACACTGATGCATGGATTGCAAGTTTGCATGCAGGCTTGATTCCCACCTTAGTTGGGAGGGGGGGAGCATGTATATGGGGGCAAGTTGATATGTCTCACATCGATGTTTCTCTCAATCTCCCCTCCCTTCCTCTCTCTCTAAAAATCAATGGGGAAAAAAAAAACTATCCTTGAGTGAGGATTAACAAAAAGAAAAATTGGTTTCTACTCCAGAGAGTAATATAACTAACTGTATTTAAAGTATGAAGAGAAGAGAGCTATAAGAGATAAGTTACTCATCTAATAGAGTAAGAAATCTATTAACTATGTCCAACACCTCTATTATTTGAAATCATAGGCATAATATCATAATGAAAAGCTACAGGAGTTTCAAGTGGTGACTTTGGCAAGTGGACTTGGGTAATACAGGGAACTGCTTATTTCTGTCAGTAACTGTTAGTATGATTTATTAATTACTAGAGGCCCGACACACAAAGATTCATGAAAGAATTGGACTGCCTTCCCTTGGCTGCCAGCAGCATCGCCTTTGCTCTGGCCTGCAGCCGCCTTTCCACCTTCCCATGCTACCCAGAGGCCTGGAATAGCTGCAGCAGCGCCATGGTGACAACACAAGTGTCCCATTCCTGGCTGCTCAGTGCCTGTGCATGCATCTTTGGTGGGTTAATTTGCATACCCACTCCTGATTGGCTGGTTGGTGGCATGAAGGTATGGTCAATTTGCATATTTCTTTTATTAGTGTAGATGAGTATGTATTCATTTTTTCTTTTTTTTCTTTTTTTATTAAATTATCTGTGTACATATTTTACCACTGCCCCCCCCCTCCCAAACATACCCAACCCTCCCCAGAACTTTGTGTCCATTGGTTGTACTTATATGCATATATACAAGACCTTCGGTTGATCTCTTACCTTCCCCCAGCTGAGTATGTATTCAGTTTGATAAAAATTAAAAATATATATTTAAAAAAATGTCCTTCAAAAAATAATTTCTATCAGCCATATTTTCCTATTTTTTCATATCCTCACTGATACTGCAAATGATAAATCTCAATTTGATAGAAAAATGTTTTAATTTGAACTTATCTATGAGACTAAGCATCTTTTCATGTTTATTAACTATTTTGCACATTTTCTATGAAAAAGTCTTTTGTGTCTTTGACCACTTTCTGTATTTTTCTTTTCTTACTCACTTACATGCTTTACATGTGATGAATATTAACTTAGATTTGCTATATGTATTGCAACTATAATGCTTTGTTTCAGTTTGACATTTAACTTAAAACTTTATTTATAGTATCTTTCGCTGAACAGAACACTTAAATTACTATGTGGTCAATTCTGTCTAGATTTTTTTCCCTTTTGGAAGTAAAACATTCATCTTATTCTAGTAACGGCACAGACATGTGACATTAAGTTGAAAATGTTTTTGTATCAATCTGCTGATTTATGGGCATGATTCCAAATAGAGTATATTTGAGCCACTTGCTATTTCCTTTAAGTTACAGGGTAGTAGTTTTTAACTATTTTTAACTATTTCATTATTTTAGAATATATTAAAAAAAAAATAAGCAACCATACTTTTAAATTTAATTCAAAATTATTTTCCTTGGTTAAAAAACAAAAAATAAAACATAAATTAGTCTTAGTCAAAAATGTTTCATTTCTACAGGGAACTGCTTATTTCTGTTGTACACTTAAGAGATAAGCACTGTACCAATTTGTTTTTGGCCTTTGAGTAAATTATTGTTCCATTGAGTACTTTTAAAGCTTTTACATTTTTATGCATAGGACAAATTGTTTATGGCACTTAACACAAGATTCACGCCATCATGGCAAATCATTTATGCATCTAAATGTCAATTTGGATCGACAGAAAAAAAGATAAATTTTCAATTAAAATAGAAAACTAGCCCTAGCCAGTTTGGCTCAGTGGTTGGAGTGTTGGCCTGGAGACTGAAGGGTCCTGTGTTTGATTCCAGTCAAGGGCACGCACCTTAGTTGCACACTCAATCCCTAGCCTGATTCGGGGCCACCACTTGATGTATCTCTCTCACATTGATGCTTCTCTTTCTCTGTCTCTCCCCCTCCCTTCTACTCTGTCTAAAAATCAATGGCAAAAACATCCTTGTGTGAGGATTAACAAAACAAAAAGATAAAAACTAAAACTTCATTGTTAATTTAAAATATGTCTAAAGCTCTAACCAATTGAGCCACCCATGGCTAGAAATTACCATTTCTGAAGGGAATTTTTTAATATATTTTTTTAACTTTTATCAAAGTGAATACATACTCATAATTTAATAGATCATATAGTGCTAAAAATTAATAACAGAAATAAGCAGTTCACTGTATTACCCAAGCCACTTCCCAAAGTCATCACTTGTAACTCCTGTAAAATCTTAAAGAAAGAAAATCAGTTAATAAATTAAGTACTTGTGTTTTTAAAGCACAAATATTTACCCAAGCATTCCTGACTCTTTGGTCTTTATGATGTAAAGGAACATTAATAATGTATGAAACATATTATTTCGGCCCTGGAACAAAGACAAAAAAGACAGCAAGATTTAAAATAAACCAAGCAAAAGATTCAGCCTGATAGGTAAATGCAGATCCTATCAATTCACATTCTACAAACTCAGAATTTCATGTAATTCCATGTATTTCATTCACTCATTAAAGACTGCCTGCTTTGGGATAGGAAGTGGGAATACTGCAGTTAATAAGACAGAGAGGATCCATTAAATCAAGGAGCTTAAAGTCTAGTAAAAGGCAGACAGAAAATTCAGAATTACAAAAAGTGTGATGAATGTTCTGAGAGGGAGGAGAAAGATGCCAGGAGAATACATGTGGGCCTCTGACCCAGACTGGTGAATCAGGAAATGCCTCTTGAGGAAGAGATTTTTAAGTTGAGACCTGAAAGATGAGCAGAAAGTAAACAGACTGGGATGTTTCTACACATGGAAAGTAGCATTTACAAAGGCCTGGAACAGAGCTATTGTTAGGCTGGTGCCCCTACATCCTATACACACAAATGCTCTATCTAAGAATTAACAGCAGCCGAAACCAGTTTGGCTCAGTGGATAGAGTGTCAGCCTGCGGACTGAAGGGTCCCAGGTTTGATTCTGGTCAGGGGCATGTATCTTGGTTGTGGGCACATCCCCATTGGGGGGTATGCAGGAAGCAGCTGATCAATGTTTCTCATCGATGTTTCTAACTCTCTATCCCTCTCCCTTCCTCTCTGTAAAAAAATCAATAAAATATTTTTAAAAATTAACAGCATAAACAAAAGTATGGGGATTAAAAAATTTTTAATCATACTTCAATTATGTTACTGACAATATAAGGTTAAACATAAATTTTATCTACAAGTGACTACACGCCAACATTTTGCTAGCCCTAAAATCAAGCAATGATATGTAATTTCTGGTCTTGTCTTTTTACTCAAGAATCTAAGGATAAATAATTTTTAAAACAGTGTTTTAAAAAAAATATTTCAGCCGAAACCGGGACTGAAAGGTCCCAGGTTCGATTCTGGTCAAGGGCATGTGCCTTGGTTGCGGGCACGTTCCCGGTGGGGGATGTGCAGGAAGCAGCTGGTCGATGTTTCTCTCCCATCGATGTTTCTAGCTCTCTATCTCTCTCCCTTCCTCTCTGTAAAAAAATCAATAAAATATATATTTTTTAAAAAATTTCAAAGGAAGTTCAAGGGCCCAAAATATTTATACTTTTAGAAAGTTGAAATATTAAATTTGAAAAATGAAATTAATATTCTTCCTTGGGAATGTGGAGAACACATTTTATAATTATTGTCAATGTAAAAATTTCTTAGTGAAGGCACTCATAAAAATAACTGCAACAGTCATCAAAAGAACTGATGTTTACAATCAAGACTGAAATACCTGGGTAATGCTTGCTTCAGAAGCACATGTACTAAGATTAAAACGATACAGGGAAGACTAGCATGGACCCTGCGCACGGTAACACACAAACTGATGAAGTGTTCCATATTAAAAACAAACAAAACCCTCGACAAAAGTGTAAATTAGTACAATTCCTTTTTTTATAAAGTAGTTTGATACCTATTTTAAAATCCTTGAAAATATTCTATAACCTAGAATTTTACTTTTGGACTCTGAGCTAAAGAAATTACCCAAAGTGCAGATAACTATACATATAAAGATGAATATTCAGCCATATTTATGATAATTAAGAATTAGAGCACAGTCAGTGTGGCTCAGTGGGTGAGCGTCAACCATGAACCAAGAGGTGACGGAATCAATTCCAGGCCAGGGCACATGCCTGGGTTGTGGACTCAGGCCCTAGTAGGGGCGTGCAGAAAGCAGCTGATCAGTGATTCTCTCTCATCATTGATGTTTCTCTCTCTCTCCCTATTCCTTCCTCCCTGAAATCAATAAAAATATATTAAGTTAAATAAATAAATAAAAGTAAAAATTATGTTTTTTAAAGTATTTTTATGAAAATTTTTAATGGTATGGAAATTATAAAGGTAATTTTTAGAATCATTTACATAAATGATTTCAACCCATAAAAAAGAAGAGCAAGCCTTGGCTGATATTCTCAGTTGTTAGAACACTGGCCCAAGGACGAAGGGCTGAGGATTTGATTCCTGGTCAATGGCAAGTACCTGGGTTGCAGGCTCCATCCTGGGCCCTAGTCGGGGCACAGGCAGGAGGCAACCAACCAATGTGTCTCTCTCACATTGATGTTTCTCTTTCCCTCCCTCCTTTCCAGTCTCTGAAAAAAAATCAATGGAAAAAATATCCTCGGGTGAGGATTAAAAAAGAACAAGTACAAAGAAAGAGCAAAATGAAATTTGCTGAAAACAATACACCAAAATGTTAACAGTTGCCTCTAAGTAATAAAATGAGTGATTTTTTCTTTATACTTTTCTCTAGTAAACATATATTTTATAGTTAACAATGGGTTGATGCAAGAAACACATTTTCCCTAATTTAAAAAGTTTACCTATTCCATAAACAGAGATTCTAATTTTATAAACATCACCAAAGCAAGTCATCCGTGACATTATATAATAGCAGCTTCTACATTTAGAAGTACCTTTGGAAGATTGTAGACATGACGCTGGTAGATTAGCTCATAATGGGGAGGGTTGATAGCACTCTGATAAATGCAAAAGACATTCTCATTTGTCACATCTGTAAAGGAAATATGCTACATGAGAAACAAACAAAATCACCAGATGCATTTCATGTAAAAAGTTCAACTCATTCTTTTAGGAGAGGCTTTTACCTGGTTTATTTGGTGTCTGAACAAAGTGCTGAGAAGTAAATGTTTTTCCGTCAGGGTATTTAGGATGTGGAGGTAATCTGGAATCAAGGTAGGTGCAAAACACATGCATAATGATCTAAAAATGAGAAAACAATTTTTCAAAATCAGCATGAAAATCTGTCATAGATGGAGCCCTGTAAAAACATCTGTGTTCTTTTCCTTCCTGGCTGCTTGATGATCAATCTTCATCATAAATGACACAGTAACTGTCTGGACCAGGAAGTTCATGACCAACAGACTGCTTCAGAGGAAGCAAATGGTCATTGACGTCCTTCACCTGGGAAGGCAACAGTACCCAAAACAGAAATTCGGGGAAAACTAGCCAAAATGTATAAGACCACGCCAGATTAGTAATATTTAAAATTAATATTAAGAAGGATTTGGAAACTAAAGAAGAAATAAAAAATTAAAAATTTGTACCAGCATCTTAACCCAATAAGTGTTACTATTTTGGTCTATTTTTTTTTTTTTCTCTTTACTTAGGTTGTACTATTTTTTAATTTTTGTGTTTGGATTCAGAACCCACTTTGGTGGTGGCAAGACAACTGGCTTTGGCATGATTTATGTATGATTCCTTGGATTATGCAAAAAACAAACAAAAAAAACCCCAAACACAGACTTGTAAGACATGGCCTACATGAGAAGACCTCAAGAAAACAGAAAGGACCACAAGAACAGAATAAAGACAGGGAGACTGCGAAGGCCAATGTTGGTGCTGACAAAAAGAAGTAAAGATTCTTCAGTGACTTTATCTGTGGTGAATGTGCAGATTTTTCATGAGAGAATTAATAAGCTAAACTTTTATGTGTAAAAAAAAAAATTAAAAAATCTGTGTTTATGACTCTAATTTAAAAATTTTTCCCTAAAGAGAGAATTAGCAAAAATGCTTTCAAGTGGTTTTAAGATGAAATCTGTTAAATGAAAAGATAAAAGACATTCCTAATTTTCTGTTATGTAGATATTTCACACCTATATAGCTAGTGAACAGCAAAACCAAGATAAAATACATATCTATTCAATTCTTAATTTGAATATCAGCATTTAAAACATAATTTTCACATAAAGCCACTATTAAAAAATAACATGATTTTGAAAAACTCTTAAATGACCCAAATTTTTATAATCTTTGATCTTACAAATCTAATTCTATTAGGAATCTTTCTTTTTTTTAAAAAAAATTTATTTTTGTTTTTATTGATTTCAAAGGAGGAGGAAGAGGGAGAGTTAGAAACATTAATGAGTGAGAATATTGATCAGCTACCTCCTGCATACCCCTACTGGGGATCAAGCCCACAACCCGACATGTGCCCTTGACCAGAATTGAATCCAGCACCCTTCCATCCACAGGCTGAACCTCTAGCCACTGCGCCAAAGCAGCTAGGGCAAGGAATCTTTCTTAAAGTGGTAATTTCAAATAAGAAAGAAATATGCATCATGATGTTCCTTGCAATATTATTTAAGATAGAAAAACAATTTCTTCCCTTATCACATTTCTCAAATGTTTAAGTCTAATATTGGAGAATAGTTAAATGACAGTATGTAATAATGAAAAACCTACTTAAATATTGCAAAAGTGAAAAAAAAAACAAGAAATCTCATTTTATATACGTGATTACAACTGTGATAAAAAAACAAAAACACAAACATTAAAAAATATTACAAGCTAAGTAAAGGGGAAAAAAGTAGACGAAAATAGTAACACTTGTTAAGATGCTGGTACAATTTTAATTTTTTATTTCTACTTTAGTTTCCAAATTCTTTTTAATATTGATAATGGAAAAATAAAAACACATAAAGCCAGTAACAAAACTAAAAAAATGCCCTGGCCGAGGAGCTTATTAGAGCATTATCCTGATATGCCAAGGTTGCGGGTTTGATCCCCAGTCAGGGCACATGCAAGAAGCAACCAATAAATGCATAAATAAGTAGAACAACAAATCAGTATTTCTCTATCTCTCCAAAAGCAATAAAAAAACAAAAAAATAAAAACAAAAAACAACAACAACAACAAAAAACACACTGGAAAACAATGAAAAATAAAACTGCAGACTTACAGCAGAATCAGTGGGCAGGTCTGTATCCCACTTGCGTCCTTTGAAGTCTCCACCTCTATTCCATCGAAACGAGCTCATACAGCCTCCCTGAGAAAGTTCTGTAGCAACAAAGGTGAAATTTAAAAAGCTATAATAAGACTATGCAAAAATTAGGGGAAAACAGCTAAGGGGTTATAAGAGAAGCATATCATCTTAAAAACCTGATTAAAAGATCCATAACATAAATACAAAATATAAAAGATTAACTTAAATACCAGAATAATTACATAAATCCAAAATGTGAGATAAGACTAATATTTTGGATTCTTAAAGTCAATGTCATGTAAGCAAAAGGTGGCAAGACTGTTAGAGACAACAAAAGAAGATTAAACAATACATTTAATGTGTGCACCTACACTTTATTCCTGGTTAGAAAAAAAAAAAAGGGTATATAACATTATTTGGACAATTGGGAAATCTGAATATGAACTGTATATTAGGGGTGATCAGGCCTGCAGGGGAGGGCAGTTAGGGGCAAACAGGCTTGTAGGGGAGCAGTTAGGCATCAATCAGGCTGGCAGGGGAGTGGTTAGGGGGTGATCAGGCTGGCCAGCAGAAGCGGTTAAGGGCAATCAGGAAGGCAGGCAGGTGAGCAGTTGGGAGCCAGCAGTCCTGAATTGTGAGAGGGATCTCAGATTGCAGAAAGTGCAGGCTGGGCTGAGGGACCCCCCCAACCCCCATGCATGAATTTCATGCACTGAGGCCTCTAGTATTTTTATAAAACGTAAGATCATACTTAGTGATACTTTTAAGTTTTTTCAAAAAATTTTCCCCCTTTGTTACCTTTATTTATAAAATCTCAAGGTAGTGAAAAAGTACTCATTCCCCCCCCCCCCCTCTTCAAAGCAATAGTTTACCTTTGATCCTTTCAAACAAGTATTCCTGATTTGGTGTAAGGTCTAGATACTGCACAATTGTATTCAAAGTTGGAATGAGAGGAGCTTTGACCAGAGCAGCTTGTTTCAAACTGGTAATATTAGCCTCTGTTAAAAATAAAAAACACCAAACACGTTATTTTTAACTTGGATCTCTAAAAAATACTTAAAATGCTCTTCCCACAATAAATATTAAAGGAATAAATGACAGCAATAATAGTTTATCTTAACAATCTGCATTATCTACTTAAAATTTATTTTATCATTTCTGACAAGGTGGACAGATATCTATTTATCTCTCTGTCTTCCTCTCCTCCTCCTTCCACCCCTCAAAGAATCAGCCAGATCCAATTTGGAAGCTATATAAACAACTAATATGAAATATAGTCCAGCCATAAAAATAATACTGGACAATACTTAACAAAATAGAAAGAGCAAAGGGAAAAAACATAAGATAACTCCAATTTAATTAGGAACATATACATATATATGTAACAGAGTTCCTCAATTCCTAAATATATACTTTTTATGTTCTTAAATTATAAGATAACTTATAACTAATATATATAATTAATATCATAGTATTTTCTTAAATACTATGTGTGTGACTAAATAATTGGTGTGACTAAATTGATAATGGTTATTGCTAGAAGCAGAATGGTAAGTAATATTCTTCTTTGTGTATTTTTGTACTTTTTGAATTTTTTACTTGAACACTGTATACTGCTTTTGTAGTCATAAAGCAATGTTGTTCTTTTTTAAAAAGCACATCATGCTGGTACTGACATGTTACAATATGGATGAAACTTGAAAAAATTATTATATTAAATGAAAGAAGCCAGACACAAAGGACAACATATTGCATATCCCATTTGTATACAATATCCAGAAGAGATCTATCTATAGAGACAGGAAGAAGCCTGATAGTTGCCTGGAGAATGGGTGGTGGTGGAAAGCAGAGGTGACTGCTAAAGCGTATGTGGGTTTCTTAAGATTAATTATTGTGATGGCTGTACAACTCAAACCTTTGAATTATATACTTTATTATTATTATTCTTTAAATATACTTTTATTGATTTCAGAGAGAAAGGGAGAGGGAGAGATAGAAACATCAATGATGAGAGAGAATCATTGATGGGCTTGCCTCCTGCACATCCTCTACTGGGGATCGAGCCCACAACCTGGCCATGTGCCCTTGACAGGTACTGAACTTGGGACCCTTCAGTCCACAAGCTGATGCTCCATCCACTGAGCCAAACAGGCTAGGGCTGAATTGTAGACTTACATTGAAAAACTATATGTAAGTAAATTATATTTCAATAAACCTTAATATTGAAAAGAAACCCTGTATTATAGAGATTTAGTTTTATTTCCTTCACCTCAAGGTAACAAAGGAAGTTGTTAAGTAGTCCACTACAGAAGAAATTCCCACCTGCAGATTCACTGAAAGTAAATCAAATGCTGGGCTCTATTTTCACATACCTCCTATTTGCAGCTCTGGACAACCCATGCGTCTCATCTGTGTGCTGACAGACTCAATCTCTTGTACAAGTGACACTAATATTGTCTCATTGATCCACTAGGAAAAAAATGAGGTAAAGATTTTACACACGTAAATCCAAAGCATTTCTCAAATAATTATTCACAAGACTCTAAGATTTTTTTTTATTGTTGTGTACTTTAAATATTAAAGTATAGTGAAAGAGAATGGAAGTAGCAGCTACCTGAAGTCCAGAGTTAAGTAAATATGCTACTAGAGTGTAAGTTGATTAAGTTATAGTTTTAAATCACATATGCCTGTGTTTTTTTGAAGAATATATGAGACTTCCAGCTGTATGTTGTTTTTCTTAAATGTTTCTTTCTATGCTTATTATACTAAGCTAAAAGCAGGCTCACCCAATTCCCTAACCACGTAGAAAACAAATGTATTATATTTGAAACTGGCTTGTGAATATTACCATATGACTTTAGGACTAAGGATTTCAAATGCCACTTTGTTTGGCTACTATCAAACTAATTCTGGGAATGAAAAGACTGTCTAAGGAAACAGCTCATCTGGTTTATTTGTGTTGCTTCTTTTTCATTTAAGCTTCTTCATTTTATGTGAGAGTATGCTTTTAGAAGCTTCCACCATTTCTGTTTCCATGCTTCTGTTTAACCATAAAATTAAAGGATGAAAAAAGTTTCATGTAAAATAAATGTCTACTATTCCTTAAAAAAAAAAAAAAAAAAAAGTTCCTCCAAATTCTAAATTTCAGAACACTGGTATTCTAAGGAATTTAGGTAAGGGATTGCGCTTATATTTCTTCTAAGCTAATACTCTCAACAAGCCTTTATATTGGCATTTTAGACAATCCTATGTGTGGATATCATTTCACTCATTCACACTCCCAACATTTATTTAAACACATTCTATGCTGTCAGCTACTCTTTCGATGAAACAAACTGATCTAAGCAGTTCAGGAGAGAGATCTTGGCCCCATTCCCAGAAAGTCTGAAAATCATACTTTCAGGGCTGGGCTCAAGAATTTTATTTATCTATTTTAATTTAATTGTACTTAATTTTTTGTTGGTTTTCACCCAAGGATATTCTTTCCCATTGGTTTTTAGAGAGACTGGAAAGGAGAAAGGGAAGGAGGATTGAGAGAGAGAGAAAGGAGAGAGAGAGAGAGAGAGAGAGAGAGAGAGAGAGAGAGAGAGAGAGAGAGAGAGAGAGAGAGAGAGAGAGAGGAGGGAGGAAGGGAGAGAGAAAGAGAGAGAGAGATTGATGTGAGGGAGACACATTAACTGGTTGCCTCCCACACTTGCCACAACAGGGGCCAGGGATCGAAGTGCTCTTGACTGGGAATCAAACCCATGAGTCTTCGGTGTGTGGGCTGTTACTCTAACCACAGAGGACACAGGACAGGGCAAAAATTTTTACTTTTAAAAAGTCATCCAGCCCTAGCTGGTTTGGCTCAGTGGATAGAGTGTCAGCCTGTGGACTGAAGGGTCCTGGGTTCGATTCTAGTCAGGGCACAAGTCTGGAGGGGGTACAGGAGGCAGCCAATTGATGGTTCTGTCTCATCACTGATGTTTATAAACTCTCTCCTTTTCCCTTCCTCTCTGAAATCAATAAAAATATGTTAAAAAAAACATGCAGACTTCTGGTTCAAGAAAGTAGGCTGCTATTTTTCGCCACTCCCTCTTGATTCCCTATTTAAATTATGATAAAGAATGCAAAAGGAGTGGAAGTGATTTCAACGTATTTCTAGAAATGAAGAGCTGTAGATGAATAACTGTTGCAATATGAAACAGGGGAAGAAGCGGTGGCCTCGACAGATCCATGTGACACCTGCAGTGGAGGAGGGGCCAATGTGCCTGGCAGAACCTGGGATGTACAGTACTACAGAGGCGAGACAAAGAGGCAGGGGTTGAAACAAAGGAATTAACGCACTCTGTACATAGAAAAATTGGCCTTCCCAACCTCCAGGCCAAAAACAGAGAGGGCTCTTCTTTAAAAAATCAAAGAAACTGACATATATTCAGGGATCAGCTGCCTCCCACATGCTCCCCACTGGAGATCAAGCCTGCAACCCAGGCATGTAACCTGACTGGGAACTGAATTTGAAAATTCTTGGTATGCAGAACAATACTCCAACCAACCGAGCCTCGCCCAAGAACCTCATTTTGTTTCCCACACATTTCTGGACACACAATAGGCTCTGACAAAAAAGCTCTTTGAAAAATTACATTGAGATGTTGGAAAAGGGAAGGAGGTCATATTGTTCCTTTATCTATTCAACATAGAGGGGGTAAAAAAATCCCTTAAAAATGGACACACAAATAAAAAGGGACACCATCAGGTAAATGTCTTGTTTATCCTTACATATGTTCCATCCCATATTGCACTTTACTAATTCTGACGTATAATTAACAATTAACATCTCTAATTGATATTCTAATAACATACCTTGCATAGTAAGAGGCACTAATAATGTCCAAACTTACATTTCTGAACTTAGCTGTCCATGAATCCATATGGTCAAGAAGTTGTCTATTCATACTCACTCTTGCCCAAACCTATTAGAAACATGTTTAAAATGAACTATCAGTGAGGAAAAAAATCTTGCCAGAAATCAGTTATTCTTTTCTGCAACCTCAAAAATATTTGGAATACTTTTTGGGGAAAAAACTTCACACATGTCAATAATGTTCTAATCTGTAATAAATTTTTTAATTACACATTTGTTGCTTTTCATGCAGACATATCTTTATAATTCCTTATGTTGGTATGATTAAAAAAACCTTCTTGCTTTTAAGAACAAAATAAAAAACCTGTATTTGGTGTTAAACTGATGAAGTTAGACTGTCAAATGTTCTAATCTAAATATATTTAAAAAGCAAGAGTTCTGTTTATGTTAAAAAGAAATTGATACTTGAGATACCTTTTTATAAATGAATGCAGAAAAATGTTTTAGGCAGGATACTAAGGACAACTATGTCCTTATGTGTTACAACTATGTGTTACAAAGAGTAAAACATGCAATATAATTCCATTTTAGGTACAGAGTTAGACAGGAGTCTTTCACTCTTTAATGTGCCAGACTTATGTTGTCAGCCAGTAAAAGTAGAGTGTAGTTATAGGGACAAAAAAGGTTCCAGAAGTAAAAAAGATGACTTTTTAATAATCTGTAAATCATAAATATTAAGTCATTTTTTTTTTCTTTTCTATTTACCTCCTCTGCAGCTTGTTTAGAACTGAGATCAGCTTCATCTTTGTTAGCGCACGGAGCCTGGGACCTACAGGCAAGCTGGTATTGAAACTTCTTTAGAGTTTGTACATAATCTCCCATAGAACGATTGTAGTTCCAGAAAGTAGGACTGGTGGAAGGCGAGGTAGAATCTGGGCTCCCTACAATGATTAATTCAGAGTATCAGTGTGTTGTAGGCATATGACATCTGAGTTAGTATATGAGCACAGGGTATCTAGGCACAGAGGCAATGGCAATCAAGGAAGACACCTCCAGGCGCTTCTCCTTTTTCTCCTCCCTAATATTATTTTTTTCTTTCGAGAACATGGACTACTTATGCTAAAAGTTAACAAGGACATTTCTGAACACTATTAATTCAAGAGCCATAATCATAAATGGTGGAAAGTGGTTTGTTTGGTTGTAAATTAAGCTTGTTTTATTCTCTAAGACTTTCAAATGATTCAAAAATAAAAAGAGAGATTTATTCAGGAAATAAATAGGCTAAGGAAGTTCCTTGCTTAAATCTTTCTGAATGGGATAACTGCAGTTTCCTGTTAATAAACTACTCTTTGGGCTAGCAACTAAACTCACGCTTCCCTGCACTATATTGTGTCTACTCATATCCTGTTGTAATTCCTGTGTTGAAATAAAAGAGACCTATGATCACATTTCTGAATAATTTACTTCTAGGAAATGTAAATAGTTATATTTAGGGACTTAATACTGTAATTATGGGAGTAATTATACATTAAAGTCAATTATCTTTCTTTTTTAAATCCTTACCTGAGGACATACTTTTTAAAAAAATTTACTTAAGAGAGAGAGGAAGGGAGAGGGGGGAGAGAGAGAGAGAGAGAGGGAAACATCCACATGACTGAAACACAGATTGGTTGACTCCCGTACATGCCCTAACCAGTGATCAAACTTGGGCACATGCCCTGATCAGGAATCGAACCTGAGACCCTCCAGTGTATGGGACAACACTCCAACTAACCAAGCAACACTGGGCCATGGTTTAATTCTTTCCAAATAGAATGTGAGCTTCTTGAGGGCAAGAGTATTTTTTCCCCTAGCACCTAGTACAGTATTTGAATAAATAACAAGTTGTGAAAGGTAATTATTCTATATAATAAAAGCCTAATATGCTAAGTGTCCGGTCTTTCAGTTGGCCATTCAACCAATCAAAGCATAATATGTTAATGATATGCTAAGGCCTCTCAACTGCTTGCTATGACATCCACCAGGGGGCACTCCAAACAGTAGGTTAGCTTGGTGTTGGGGTCTGGCTGATAGGGACTGAGCAAGACAGACCAGACACGCCCTGGAGCCCTCCCATAGTCCTTCCCCAGTTGGCCAACCTCTCACATCCCTCCCTTGCCCCAATTCCCGATCATGCACTGGTGGAGTCCCTTGGCCTGGCCTGTGCCCTCTCCTCCCTTGAGTGTATGATTTTCATGCACCAGACTTCTAGTACTATCCAATAAAAGACTAATATGCAAATTGACCATCACTCCAAGACATAAGATGGCCGCCCCCATGTGGTAAAAGATGCCTGCCCCCATGTGGACACAAGATGGCCTGCAGGGGAGGGCAGTTGTGAGAAGTTAGGGGTGACCAGGCTAGCAGAGGAGGGCAGTTGGTGGGGGGACCCAGGCCTGCTGGGGAGCACAAATGGGGGACCAGGAGGACCGTGGTGGGAGGGGCTGTGTGGGGGCATGGAGGATGGGCTGAGACCCGCCCCTGTGCCTACTGCAGCCTCTCGGCCCACAGTTCCTTTCAAGGTGTACAAATTCATGCACTGGGCCCCTAGTATACATATAAATGTTTATTAAAATAAAACACTTAATTTCAATGGATAATGGAGCTTGTAAAAAGTTAAGAGGAATAGCCTGTGGCTAGAAATGAAGAGGGAATTGAAAATCAGAGTGGCCTGTGTGTAAGCTATTCTGTGGCTGCTCTGAATAATTTTGTAGGTCTTAGAAAACCTATCGGCTTGGATTTCACTGGCCAAATGGGAACTGGGAAGATGTAGCAAATGAAGATGTAGGCCTCAAAGATGTAGAGAGTTGGCTTGAGACCTTTTTCCAACCTCCATCCCTTGCACCTGGCATAGGGCCAGAAACCTCAAAGGCCACATTCTCAGTGGATAAGAAAATAATCTGACCACTGGGCACCAGGAGATAACAAGGAAGCTTGTGTGTCTTAAGCTGTTGGGAGATTAATCCTTGAAGCCTAGACATTACTTAAGTTAGTTCAAAGTTAATGATATTCCTTAGGGACCTGGCAGAGTCATATACAAACTTCTAGGAGAAAACAAGGCTTACATCCAGCCTGCCCAGGATAGAAAAAGCACAGATAATACTCTACTGAAGATGAGCCTCCCAAAAACACAAGAGAAAAACAAGATAAATCACAAGGAAACAAGCTCAAAGCAAGAATCCACAAGATAAAAAATGTTAGTATTTCACCACCACAAACGTCATATAACTGAACTATTGGATAGAAGCTTTGTTAAAGTATGTTTAAAGTGATTGAGATAGGAAGAGGAATTGAAGACAGAAACAAAACAAGATACTCTAAAATAAATCAGGCATATTTGAAAGAAAGCCAAAATAAAGCTGAAAAAATATGAATTAAAAAATCAGTTAATTAAAAAGCAGTTTGGACATCGCTAAAGAAAGAACCAACCATGAATCTCAACTGGCTAAAATGAACAAACTGTGGGATGGGGGTAAACAGAAAGTTCTTTATAGAAGAATGCTAACCAGCTAAATGTAGAAGAAATGGAAGTATCAGAGAGTCTCCACTGTGAAACTACCACTATATTAACTTACTGGGAAATGACCATCAATGGATGTTAGCTAAAGCCACTTGCTGAAAGGCTGTAGAGGGAACAGTATATTCACAGTCTCAAAGAATCACACTACAGATTATTTGTAAACTAGAGGCCCAGTGCATGAATCTGTGCACGGATGGGGTTCCTCTGGGTGGCCTGCAGGGATCAGGCCGAAACCTGTAGTTCAACACTGCCTGCAATTCCTACCTGCCGCTCCTCCTCACCCCGGCCCCACTGTGCCTGCCACAGGCTCATGTCCAACTAGTCCTGATCTGGAGAGGCTCACCAGCCAAGAGCCCTGCATCTGGTGCCCTCCCAAGGGGAGTGGCCTGCAGCCTGGGCTAAAACCAGCTCTCTGACATCCACCAAGGGGTCCGGGTTGCAAAAGGGTGCAGGCCAGGCTGAGGGACCCACTGGTGCACAATCGGAATGGGAAGGGACCACGGGAGGGCTCCAGAGTGTGTCCGACTCATCTCGCTCAGTCCCAATCAGTGGGACCCCAGCAGCAAGATAATCTATCAGTCATCTGCCCCCTGGTGGTCAGTGCATGTCATAGCGAGCAGTTGAGAAGCCTTAGCATATCATTAGCATATTATGCTTTGATTCATTGGTTGGTTGTTCTGCCTTTCAGTCTTTTTGCATATTATCCTTTTATTAATAGGAGGATTACAAAAGGGAAAAGCTATTATGGAGAAATCAGGTTGCCATCACCTTGGCCAATAATCCAATTTAACATTCTCAATAAAGGAACAAGATATCATGTGTCTCCTGATGTCATACACTAAAAGAAACACATCATCACCAAAGTTGTATTCTTGATAAAAAATATTTAAACTAAATCTAATGAGAAAATGATCACATAAATCCAACTGTGTAATACAACTAGCCTGACCTCTTCAAAATGTAAATGTCATAAAAGATGCAAAAAACCATGTGTTCTAGATTAAAGACAAAAGAAGCATCACAACTAAATGCAATACATGTACCTTAATTAGATTAGTAAAAGGAGAAAAAAAGCTACATCTTGTATTACTGTATACGAAATGTGAATATGGTAGTATCTTTAGTATGATAATCATATTGAAAATACCTAAGATAGAAAGGAAAATGTACTTGTTCTCAGGAGATGCATGTGAACAATATAGGGATGAAGTGGCTCTTTAGCAAAAAAGTGGATATGTGAGAAAGAGTACATGAGTGCCTGGTTTCTCACTACTGGAGAAAGAAGTTACAAATACAGAAAGAGGGAAGAGGCTAGAATAAACCCAGTACGGCTGGGTTGGAATTGGAAGTATTAGTATGAACTCCAGGTTTTTAATACAGTTGACCCTTGAATAATGTGGGGGCTAGAGGGACCTATCCCACCCCTCCAGTCGAAAATCTATCTATAACTTCTGACTCTGCCAAAACTTAACTACTAATAGTCTCCTGTTGACCAGAAGCTTTACCCATAACATAAACAGTTGATTAACACCTATCTCTGTGTTATATGTATTATATGCTGTATTCTTACAATAAAGTAAACCAGAGAAAAGAAAATGCTATTAAGAAAATCATAAGAGCCCTAGGTCAGTGGATAGCACATCAGCCTGTGGACTGAAGGCTCCCAGGTTCAATTCTGTTCAAGGGCATATGCTTGGGTTGCAGGCTTGATCCCCAGTAGAGGGTGTGCAGAAAGCAGCCAATCAGTGACTGTCTCTCATCATTGATGTTTTTATCTCTCCTTTACCTTCTCTGAAATCAATAAAAATATTTTAAAAAAGAGAATTATGAGAAAATGTATTTACAGAATTGTACATATTTACTGAAAAAACAAAAACAAAACACTTGTTAATGGACCCATGCAGTTCAAACCCGTTATTGAAGAATCAACTGATGGATTAATATAGATGGATGGTAGATGTGTATGTGCATGTACATACCTATATAATAAAAGTCCAGCGACCATTACAATGGAACAACCGATCGCTATGACGTGCACTGACCAGCAGGGGGAAAAGATTAGTGCAGGAGCAGCCCCTGGTGGTCAGTGTGCTCCCATAGGGGGAGTGCCGCTCAGCAAGAAGCCGGGCTCATGGCTGGTGAGTGAGGTGGTGAGCCAAGCGGTAAAGAGCAAGCAGGCGTGTGGTTAGGAGCGAGGGGTCCCGGATTGCAAGAGGGCGCAGGCGGGATTGAAGGCCTCCCCCCACACCCCGTCCCACAATAATTCCATACATAGGTCTCTAGTATAGATATATTTCCTAACTGTCTGTTGAGAGGACCTAGAGTAATGACACCCCATTAACATGGCATATCCAATACCCAAATATTAATTTCTAAATATTATTTTTCACTAAAAACAATTATGGCCTCTTAGGAAACAGACTGACTCCAGAGCTAGATAATAAGAAAAACACAAAAGAAGTCTGAAATATCTTGTGGTCCACAAACATTAAAAAAAAGTGCTCAAGAATGAATAATGTCATGTCTAAAGAACACTTAAGTTAGAGGCCCACTAGCCAAATCTGAAACAATATAGCCATTAAAATAAATGACATAATTGAGAAGAAAAAAATTCATCTTAAGAGTACAATGCCAATAAATGAATATGAAAGGTGGTTGCCCAACAATGCGAATATACTTAATACCACTGAATTGTACACTTAAAAATGGTTAAAATGTGATGATGGAAGGAGCCTTAATTTGGGGTGATGAATACACAAATACAATATACAGTTGATGTATTATAGAATTGTACATCTGAAACCTATGTAATTTTTTTTAAGCCTTACCAGATGATTTTATTTTTTTAGTGAGAGAGGATAGGAGAGAGAGAAACACTGATCTGCTACCTCCCATACGTGCTGACTGGGGACTGAACTCACAACCTTTTGTATACACGATGCTCCAACCAACTGAGCCTCTGGGCCTGGGCTGTAACTTACATAGTTTTATTAACCAATGTCACCCCAATAAATTCAATTAAAAATTCAATAAATTCAGTTAAAATGATAAATCTTATGTATATCTTATCACAAAAAAAGTTTAAATAAGGTATGTTAAAAAGAATGACAGAAACAGAAAACCATGACAACAAACAGTAGTAATTAATTTTGAAAATAATCTCAAAAGAATGTTAAAACGAGAAAGTTAAAATTTGATGAGAAAGAGGATATTTGTATAGTCTTAAAGTAGCTCCCCCCCAAAATACTTATTATTTACAAATTAATTTGTACAAAATACTTAACTAAAATCTATGGGCACAAAGTGTTAAAAGTATAGAGATAAACATAGATGTACCCAGAAAATGCTATCCAAATGAAAACAGCACAGCTGTGTTAATGTCAGACAAAATATTCTTGAAGGTAAAAAGCCTAAGTGATAAAAGGAGTAATTGACCAGAAAGATATTAACAATTCTCAATTTACATGCACTTTACATAATCTCATAGATACTTAGCAAATTTGACACAATTACAAGGAGATATTTACTGAAAGACAATCAATGAGAGTTTTTAACACACTTCCTTGTGACTAATAGATCAAGCAGACAAAAATTAATGAAGAACTTAAGAATACCACCAAAAAGCTTACTAAATAAACAAATATGGAGTCCAATATTTGAGACTACGCATTTTTTTTTCTCAATATAACAAGAACCAATTTATAAAAAGCAATCACGTAGCAGGCCTAAAAGCAAGTCTGAAAAAAAAAACCCCAAAAATCAATAGGGTACAGATCAGAATCTATAACTACAGTAAAATCAACTTAGAGAATAGAAAAAAAAGATAAACAAGCCTTTCGTTTCATATATTTGGAAATTAAAAGCAACGTAATCAATAATAACAGTATTTCCAAACAACCCCTTTATGTCAAAGAAGAAATAAAAATGGAAGTCAGAAAAACTGGCTATGACAAAGACATGTAGAGGGTTAATAGATTGTTCTTTGTACTTTATCCTATAGTTTTCAATATTTTTGAAATATTTCAAAATTTAAAAGAAATAGCACACATTGACAAACAGCAAGATAATATTGATTTGTTTCTCTGACATTTGTGGCAATTCCAGGCCAAATTATATTAAAAATCAATGAGAGATTTAAAGTGACACAAGAGCCATGGTCCAATAACTGGCTTCCTCATTGTGGCCATGCTTTAGCACCTAATGTGCTTTCTGTGAAAGTTCCTGAGGGGGAAAATCATTACTCTGCTCAATAACCTAATCTGGTGTCAAGTAATTGACTTTGTAATAATCAAATCCACCACAAACAGATTAACATTTTCTAACATTGTTTCCCAAGGTGAATTAAAGATAAGTTTGAAATGTTTTGAAAAACAGCAGCTCTTCCAGCGTCAATCCCTGCTGTGACCTTCATCCTTCCAGGCCACGCCGACCTTCCCAGAGGAGACAACTGTCACATCACTGAGCCTGGCTGTACCCAAAACTTTAAAGACATTTGATAGACTTAACTTTTAAATAGAAATTATAGCTTACATTATATAAAAAAGCTTTCAATCTTAATGTAGATGAAAGGTTCAAGATTTCTGTTCAGTTTTATTTTACTTCTTAAATTTGGAACTTAACCCTATCTGCATAAAATATAAAAACAAAATGTATTTCTCTCCTAAGCTACACAAGGTATATAAGTAAAAAAGACTTCAACAGCCAAAACCGGTTTGCCTCAGTGGATAGAGCGTCTGCCTGCGGACTGAAAGGTCCCAAGTTCGATTCCAGTCAAGGGCATGTACCTTGGTTGCGGGCTCATCCCCAGTAGGGGATGTGCAAGAGACAGCTGATCGATGATTCTCTCTCATCGATGTTTCTAACTCTCTATAAAAAATCAATAAATTTTAAAAAATAAATAAAAATAAAATAAATAAAAGGGGCAACCCTTTTATTTAAAAAAAAAAGACTTCAACAAGTAACCAAAGTAATGGAAATAATAGGTTAATGTATAGTAAAGTGACACCATATATATGTTAGTTCTAAAAATATATGTACATACCCAGCTTAACTCTATGCTGTTTCTCTTCTTCGCTTCTAAGAAAAGTATCCAAAGTTCGTAGGTCTGTCATGTAGTCGTGTTTGTCAGTAGGCGAGTTATAGACAGTGGGTGAAGAACGGTAGCGAGATCGCAATCCACTGCTCTCCACTGGCCCAACAGTGGTCGGGTACGAAGGAGGAGAGGAACTATAACTTGCCAACTATACAAAATAAAAATAACCTTTATTTTATTTAATTGAAATTTACTCGTCTTGGCTTTTGACTTTCAAAGAGTAATATACCAATAATAAAATCCAGACCACTGACAACACCAAATGCTGACCAGGATATGAAGCAACAGGAACTCTCATTCATTGCTGATAGGAATGCAAAATGGTACAGGCACTTTGGAAGACAATCTGGTGGTTTCTCATAAAACTAAACAGACTCTTACCATACAATCTAGCAATCGTGTTCGCTGGTATTTACCCAAAGGAGTTGAAAGCTTATGTCCACACAGAAACCTGCACACAGATATTTATTAGTTTTATTCATAACTGCCAAAACTTGGAAGCAACCTACTTTAGTAGGTAAAGAGACAAACTCTGGCACATCTGGACAATGGGATATTATTCAGCACTAAAAGGAGCTATGAAAAGACATAAAGGAAACTAAATGCATATTACTAAGTGAAAGAAGCCAATCTGAAAAGGTTACAAACAGTACAATGGTAACTATATGGTATTCTGAAAAAGGCAAAACTACGGAGACAGCCATAGCTGTTCTGGCTCAGTGGATACCACATCCACCTGCAGACCGAAGGGTCTGGGGTTTGATTCTGGTCAAAGGCATGTACCTTGGTTGCAGACTCTTCCCTAGCCCCCAGGCCCTGGTCGGTGCATGTGCGGGAGGCAACCAATTGATGTGTTTCTCTCACATTGTTGATATTTCTCTTTGCCTTTCCTGCTCTCTTCCACTCTAAAAATCAATGGAAAAATATTCTCAGGTGATAATTTAAAAAAACGAACCAAAAAAACTATGGAGACAATAAAAAGATCAGCTGTTGCCAGGCGTTGGGAGAAGGATGAATAAGTGGAATAAATGGATTTTTTTCTATTTTTATACATTTTATATAACTCATAAAACAGTGGTTGTATAAAAATTCACACAAAGTTTCAAGAGAGCATACAATTTCCAAAAATGTCCTGGGTTTTTGTTACATTCAGTTTTCTAGGGGTGCACTCAAATCAATGGTAAAATGCAAACATTATGTGCTAGTTCGTTATCTTTGGTAAAACCATTTTCATTATTTTGTCTCCTCACAGTATAAACTCTGATATCACTTTGTGCAGGGTCTGCTATCACTAGGATGTCAGAAAAACATTAAGGTTGGATCTACGAAAGGCAAATATTTGAAATGACAGTAACAGCCCTTGGCCCCCAGCCCCACTTCGTAACACTTAGCTATACAGGCAGGGAGAGAGCTCAACGGGCTCCAATCAGGGGTCTTGAAAAACTCCCTCCCCATCAGGCAAGAGGCAAACGTTTTGGGGAAAGTTGGAAACTGAGAGCTATCTCTACAGGAACCCGGTGGCCATGCTGTGATTTGGTCAGGCCAGTGACTCTAAGCATTTACACAGCGATCCATTCATAACTCAGTAGATCCCATTGGTAGGTCGATGACTGCTGCTGATGATATCCTTCCCCCACAACTTACAGAAAGGAAGTTTCAGGGCTGACACTGAATGGAGAGGAGCACGGAGCATGAGGATTTTAAGGCAGTAAAAATACTCTGCATACCATATGGAGGATACACGTCCTTATATATTTGACCAAGCCCATAGAATGTGTGCCATCAAGAGTGGACCCTAATGTGAACCAAGGGCTCTGTGTGAGAATGCTGTGTCAGTGTAGGTTCTTCGGTTGTAACAACTGTACCAGTCTTGTGCCTGATGCTGACAGTTGGAAAGGCTGTGCCTGTGTGCAGGGGGAATATGGGAAATCTCTGCACCTTCCGCTCAATTTTTCTAGGAACCTAAAACTGCTCTAAATATAAAGCCTATTTTTTTTAAAAAAGTAACATATGCTTGTTTAAAAAAAACCTAAAAAGTATGAAAAAAATAAGTCATACTTAGACCTTTGCCACACAGAGATAATATAATCCCTTTTCACATTTTATGTATTTTCAAATCTTTAAATGTATTTATATGGTTATGTCAATTTTTCTTTACCATAAATGACAATAATATCAATTTTTAATTTTATGTCCCTGTTTTATTTAAATTTAACCAAACATTTTCCTATAAAATCCTTTATAGCCCTGGCTGGGTGGCTCAGTTGGTTGGAGTGTCGTCCCATGCACCAAAACGTTAGTGGTTTGATGCCTGGTCAGGGCACATGCCAGGTTTCGGGCTCAATCGATATGCTTGCACATTGATGTTTCTCTCTTGTCTCTCCCTCCCCCTTCCTCTCTCTCTAAAAATCAATAAAAAATATTTTTAAAAACTTCTAACTAGGTGTTAGGAAATCTGGGTTTATTATTGGCTTTTAAATGGGCAATTTGGGCAACTCCATTACCCACTGTTCCTCCATATCTTCATTGATGAAATGAGGAATTTCAACTCACTAGATTGTATAGGTACCTCCAAATTCTAAAATAACTTGACTGGCCAAGAGAAGAGAGTCTTTACCTTATTATAACCAGTGATGGGTGAGTAGGTCACTCCTGGGCTGTAAGAACCACTGCCACCTGATGACAAACCTTGTAGCTGAGGGCTGTATCCAGTTATACAGCTGGTGGTGAACTTGGGGCTGGTACTGGGTGAACGAGATGGGCTATAACTCAACACACTCTGACCCTGAATTGAAGAAGGTGGAGAGGGAGGAATTTGGGTTGCTGCCAGGTCATGTGGAGGAGTAGTCTGTACAACTAGAAGAAATAGATAAATAAATAGCAAGTAAATAAAATGTGTGTGTATATATAAATAAAATTTCTATGAAAACATTTAATGAACTGTATCTGTTTATTCAAAAAAAAGGAAAGAGGGAACTTGGTTGTTAAATTACATAAAGTATTATTACCAAAAGACAAAAATTAGTTGTTTACCATTTCCAGAGTTAAAAATAAGAAATTAGCTTCAATGCAGCAAGCATCAGTAATTTAATTTTAATTATAATTAAACAGAACCAACTTTCATGGGGCTATTGATTGCTAGTTCTATTTAATTAATACAAATAGGAATAATAGTCACTGGTCTTAAGACAATATATTATAGACCTGCTTAATATAGTTGAACCAGATGGCCTAAGCCCCTTCCAGCTGAGTCAAGGAAAAGAGAAAATTAAACTGAGGAAGAGTTATTGCCAACCTGTGCAGAAGATGCAAACACTTACCAGCTGTTTTTAACCCTAAAAGTGTTTGCTGTCCAGGGCTAACAACCAGACTTGTTGGTGCCACAGTATATTTGAAATATCTCCAAAAATCAAATAAAGCATTTAGGCTGAAGAGAGATGCAAGGGCAAGCTCTGTAAGAGAACAACAATTTTTTTTTTTAAAGAGTGTGTGTGTGTGTGGAACATTTAAAAGGGAAAATAGAACTCTTTATACTTTAGCAAATTAATAAAATTGAACACTTATTTTTCCTCCTCTCAGTTACCACTTAATGTCTAATATATGTAGGGTACTTACTACTAAGTTTCAAAATATTATCACTAATCCTTGAAACTAGTACAATTGACATTTTTATCTTTAAAGATCAACCAACAGTTGTAGAGAAATAAAGTGATTTTGCAAGAGCCCACAGCTAATTATTGATTCTAACTCAGATGTACAGATTCCAAAACGCTTGCTCTTCCATTTTCCACACCACTTCTATCACAGACTTTAGATTAATGTGTATATTAGATGATGGAATTTCCTATAATGGCCATAGGACTCTATACCCAAAGACTACTGAAGAGCAGACAGGGAGATGAAGAAACGAGGAGACTGAGGAAGGCATCAATGTTGTAGAAATCGGATTGGTTTTGAAAGGTGAAAAATTAGAGAAGTAGGGAAGGCATTTCAGAGAGAGTAACAAATACAAATTTCACTACGCCCAAACTATTTTTCTTCACAGACCTCATTATTATCTAGAATTGTATTGTTTAACTCGATTGTCTCCTCTACTGGAATGTTCCTTCCACGAGGGCAGGGACTTTGTTCCTTTCCTGCTGCATTCAGTTTTTGGAACATAATAGGCACTCAAATATTTGCTGAATGAAGGCATGGATACTAAGTTGAATTAAACTTGTGTGCAGTTTTTCATTGACAGTAACTCTAAATCACAGTGAAAATTTATGACTTACCAATATACCAGAGAGGCCAGTATGTGACATTATAATATGAACTAATCAATTTTCCAGACCTGAAAAAATTAGAAAGGCTTTTCAATGTCTTTAAAATATAAAACACACCAAAAACAAAAACTAACACAAACACCTGTGGAACCAACTATTGGCCTCTTAATTTTTTTCCCCCCTAATTAACTTACATTTCAGTATATATCATTCCAGCCACAGACACATTGAGGAGTCCCCAGGCTAAAACCACTTTCCTAGCTTCTGTTTCTTTTCTCATCTTGATAGTTCTGTCAATAAGGGAAGCACTAGGGGTAGACTCCCCTTGCATCTATTCAAAAACAAAAAGCACAAGAATTAATCAGAAGAAACTACTTCGATTAAGAAATCACATTGGTGTCCTTTTTAACAGTAAGTAAAAATTGCACATACTTTTCCTCATCTTTTAAAATGTCTTCCCAAAATTTTTTACATTGTGGTATTAGTATATAAAAAGGGAACCCTAAATTATAACTCGTTAGCTCTGTATTGTAATCAACAAAGAGGCTGGTCACTTAAGAAAACAACTTCATGCTTCCAATAAATAAAAAAAAGTCTTAAGTTTGTAATTTGTGTGTTGGTAGTCATGTCTGCAATTACTCTATATAGTGTTTTTGAAATATGTCACAAGGACTAGCCCAAGGGCTAATTTAAGAAACCCAAATACAAAGTTTTTGGAAAAACTCTTCCATTTACGCAATAAGCCCTTAAAAGGCACTCCTAAATAAAGCCTTATGCAGAATCCATCAACTGTCCATGCTCTTTCACCCTGCACTCAGACGCAGAGATCTGTTTTGTTTTTAAATTTTAGAAAGGCCAGTATTCATGTGAGGGAGCTGAGGGCGAGTGGGGAGACGTATGCATTCAGTATTGGTCTACGTTTGGGTTTACATTTTCTTTGTTTTGCTAGACCTCATCTCGTGCGGACACGTGTGAGATGTGTTCGTTACATGGAGTCGCATCCCTGCGCCCAGAGCAATGCCCTTTCCGCCCCCTCCCAGGCCGGAGTCAAAACCCCCCAGGCCAACGAGCTTCCCTCCCTGACTCTCCCAGTCCCAACTTCAGCAACCCCTATGGCTTCTTTCCTCCGTTCCTCTAAGGGCGGTGGGACACCGGGCCACGTCCCCCACTTGGGCTACTCCCCGCGGCAGACCCGCAGGCACCGAATTCCCACAGCCCGCGTGCATTTTGCGTCCGGGAAGCACAAAAAATGACCCCGAAAACGCACCATGATCTCTGGCCGGAAGCCGCTGACTCGCGCCACTCTACTGCACATGCGCGGAGCCAACGGTAAGGCGAAAGATCAGCTATACAGGTCTACGTTACCGGAAGAACGGGTTATCTCTTCTCGCGAGAAGAGAAGGGGCGGGGCGGGACGGGGCCTGAATGCGTTACCAGGGAACCGCTCTCGGATTTGTGGTGGCTGGCGCTCAGGTGGGGGAGAAAAGCTGAGCGGCAAGGATTCAGACCAGGTTCTGAACCCTCATTAATAACGATAAGAAGATAAATTTCTATGTACTAATATGATTTTAGCTTCTTTGGGCGTTTATGGACTCACATTTTTAAAACACTTTATTCCGTTAGAGTAGAATAGAGCACGTTGTAATGTGTGCAGGGACCATCAGCAATGACAAAGCATTTCTCACAACTGGGTTTAAAAAAAATGTTCTGACCCCATGTTAATTCTTATATATCCGTGAAATGAAGGTGCAGCAGTACTAACAAGAAAAACTCAAATGTGTTTTGTTAACGTTGTTAGTGGTTTTGAAGTTTTTTTTTTAAAAAAAAATATTTAAATTTCCTGCATTTTCTTTGCAAGAACTTCTAATCCTGAGGGAAAGTTCATCATGCAATTGTTTGGTTTTATTTAACAAATAAAACCGTTCCGGAGTGTAAAAGTAAAAGCGCTCTGATGACTGCCACGAGGAGCTCTGCTGGGGGAGGGAGGGCAGGTGCGTTAGGAGGCTCCTGGGGCCCAGTTCGGCTCCCCACTAGCTGCCTGGAGGGAGCGAAGAGGCAACTATCAGAATAGGGACTTGCCCTTGAGGATGCAGAGAAGTGTGTCCCTTAATAAAAAGACCCTGTATCACAAGCTAGTGAATTGTTACATCATGCAAGTCCCAAAGACCAAAAATTTTTCTAAAATGTCCCAATAGAAGAGATTGAAGTTTCCTTGTGGTATTGCATATTGAGAGAATGAAGGTATGCTGTGGTTTTAAAGATCTAACAGATTTTTTTTTTTTTTTAGAGTGGGATTTTTATAATTTTTAGAATGTCTTAATAGCAATGGTGTTTTGCTCTAGTTTTAGACTGAGAAATGAACTAACTTGAAAATTGTTCAAAGTGAAAGGGTTCTAGGTACAGTCAAATTGAGAATACCAGGTTCCTCCTTACCCCATGTCTGGCTCTTTCCTAAGAAGAAATAGTATGCATTTGATGTCATTCACAACAGGCACATGGATAGTTTCCCTTTTAATGCAATCTATAAATTACTGTGCATTTATTCAAGGCTTAATAAGGAGCATGACTACTACTCCGAATAGACTTATCCTTGGCATTACACATGGGTTTGATAGTTGCCTTAACAAAACACTACAGATAGGTGGCTTACACAAAATAATTTTTTTCAATTTTGGAGATTGAAAGCCTAAGATCAAGATTCCAGCAGAATTGGTTTCTCCTAAAGGCTTGTCTCCTTCTCTCTTAGCCTTTTTTTTTTTTTTTTTTTTTTTTTTTTCCCTGTGCTTGAACATCCTTATTGACTCTTCCTCTTCTAATAAGGTCACCGGTCATATTGGATTAGAGCCCCACCCTTATGACCTCATTTTAACTTAATTACCTGTTTAAAAGCACTATCTCTAATTATAGACAAATTGAAGATTAAAGCTTCAACATATGAATTTTGGGGAACACAGTTCAGTCTACAACACATTAGAATGTGTATGTTAATTTAAAATCGTAAGAGACTGAAAAAAAAAATGGGTACTTCAGAGACTAAGATGTAAAAATATTAAAATACTGTGTGTAAAGAAAATATAGGACAGCCCCGGCCAATGTGGCTTGCTGGCTGAGCGTTGTCCCATGCACTAAGAGATGGCCAGTTTGATTCCGGGTCAGGGCACATGCCTGGGTTTTGGGCTCTATCCCTAGTAGGGGGTGTGCAGGAAGTAGTCGGTCAATGGTTCCCTCTCTCTCTAAATTCAATGTAAAAAGAGAAATACATTACTGACCATTGAACAAAATGGGGGTTAGGGGCACCAACCTCCTCACAGTAAAAATCCAAGTATAACTTCTGACTCCCCCCAAATTTAACTATCCTCAGTATTTGCAGGGGTTTGGGTCCAAAACTGAAGTCTGAGAATCCTTAAATCCCTTATAGAAAATGGCATAGTGGCTAGGAGAAGAGGACTGTCAATTGGGGAAACTTTAGACAATTAAAAAAGGGGAAATTTGATTAAAAGGAATATATATAAAAGATTTTAAAAGAAGAAAAGAAAATGGTATAGATCAATGCATAGTCTGCTTTCTGCATCCTTGGCTCCCAAAAGCAAATAAAAAACATTACCAGTTTTTATTTTTTTTAAAAATCCTAATAAGTGGACCCATGTGATTCAAACCAATGTTGCTTAAGGGTCTACTATATATACAAATTTCAGGGATAAGAGGGAATTAAGGCAGAACACACTAAATTAAGTTATGAGGAAAGACCATAAACTTCCATAAAAGTAATTTAAATGAATCTCCAAAAAGATTTAGGAATCTAAGGGTTTGTTAGTTACTGACACAGTTGTTGAAGTGTATGTCATAATAGGTTGTCAAGGAAGTTGTCATGCATGTGGAGTGAGGTACTTTCCAGTCATTTTCATCCCTGTGAGCATGTTTTTCTTTTGAAGCAAAAGCCATCATGGGAGAACTTCTTTCCTTGTTTTGGGAGGTGGACCCTCCCCCCAGACCTATAACTTTTAGCATTCCAACACAGGATTATGAGTGCCGGCAGGATGACTCTTGTGGGACGATAGGGACTATACTCTTCTGGTATTTTGTCATCATATTGGTCTTGATGTTCTTCTCTCGAGCTCCTCTCTGGGTAGGATAAATAAAATAAACCTTTTTATTTTAAATACTATGATTACTGTACACTAGGTTTTTGTTTTTTTTTTTCCATAAAATAAGTTCACTTTACTTTCAATGAACTATTCTTTTAAAGTTTGTTTTCTAGTTTTAAAAACAATGCAATCTTATTCTAGAAAATCCAAGAATATAGAAAATGGTGAAGAAGAAAATTTAAACTATTAATACTGTAATCGTGTTTCTTAGAGATAATCATTGTTAACATTTTGGAGTATGTTCTAATTTTCTTTTTCTCTATACCAATATATATTTCTCCATCTTTGATTTTACATGGTTGGTATTATGCTATTGTATATATGTTCATATCCTGCTTTTTAAAACTTTATATTGTATTGTAACACTTCTCCAAATTATATTTACACAGCAGAATTCTTAGTGATTGCATACTTTTGTTTTGTCTGTGGTTACACCATAACAAATCTGCAATTTTGAGATATTGAGGTGGTTTGTACTTTGTTCATATGCTGTGTGATGCTGGAATAAACTTCCCTACTAGTTAATGACCTTGAAATTCCCTGTATAGCCAGGTAATTTTAATCACAAATAAAAAAGTTGTTTTATTTATTGGACATATGTTGTAATATTTTGGGGATTTTAGAATGGGGCAACATACTCTCAGAATAGAATAAGCTGCAGAACTAAATGCAACTAAACAGAACTAAAGCCGCCACTCTAGAGCACCTCCTAGCAGAAAAAATACCATCCTCTTAGGATTGAGGTAGCTCACTTTATCAGCACTATTATGTTCCAACATATAATGAGTGTAACCCAGCTCTTGTAAGTCGCTGACATGGGATCCTTGCTGGCCATTAACACCAGATTGATGATTAATCAAACCACCATCATTTAGCATTGCAGCCAGAACCCTGGACTGTCGGTGGTCAGCTAGACTGACTGAGTGCTGTATCGCTCTAGAGGGAGAGGAGGAGGTTTGTTATGTCTATGCCAGCTGGATTCCATTATAATAATCAAAGACTCTCCCTCATCATGTCTTCCCCCTAAGAAGTTTCATCTATAGTTTAAATGCTTCATAAGATAGATACTTTGCCAAAATGAGATTTAGAAGCGATAGCTTATACGTATCTTGGATTCCCTAGCTAAGTATATTGAATTTATCTGGTCTGGCAAGAAAAGCTACTTTAGAAAGTTAACAAAAAAAATTGAAATTGATTTCTGGCAATTTCATCATGAAGACCACTTTAAGAGGCCTAAGCTGTGTTCTTCTGCTCCCTTGCTTCTATCGTAGTCATAGTGACCCAAGCTTCAAGGACCTCAAGATTGCATATGGTCCAGTCTCCTGTTTGTAAGCAAGTTAGATACCAGTTATTTATCCTTTTTTAAATTGATAAGGCCCACAGAAATTAAGTGACTTGTCCAATCTCGCACAAACTTGGGAGCAGTAGACCCAGGTTTCCTGCCATATCATTTGTTTGCTTCAAAGCATAGTTGAAATGTTGAATTAAATTTATTCAGTGCTGATTAAAACCTTAATTATCTTAGAAGTTTCATCTTTTACTTTGTTCAGCTGAACTGATTCTTCTAAAAGGTCCCAGATTTGAAATCTGAGAATCATATGAGGACTAGTTAAGGAGGATGAAATTTTTCATTCCCTTTGAACTTCATTTTCTCTGCTAAACTATAGGCCTTTATTTACAAACCTTGAAGTAATAGTAAAAGTGTGATGGAAGTGTGGTGGTAACCACATGAAGCACACTGATATCCTCTGGATTTGCCACTTTTTAAGAAATTACTTTTTAGTTGGAGAGAAGGGAGAGAGAGAGAGAGAGACAGAAAATGAGAAACACTGTTTGATTGCTTACTATAGGTGCCCTTGTTACAGAGTTCCCGAACAATCAAACAATTCAGGAAAGTTTGGAGATTCACTTTATTCACCGCGGTGGGATTAGAGAAAATGAATTCAAATTCTAAGCAAGGCTACAAGCAGAACTTCCCTTTTATTAAAGAGTCAGCCCTAAGATAACCTTAGTGGTTATCTTGCTGCTGGCCTTGAAAACAACACAGTTCGATCCAATTAAAAAATGCACCTGGCATGGCATTGAAATTATGGGCGTATCTAGTCTCTGGCCTACAAGGTCATAC